GAGCTAATTGAGTCATAATGACGACGGATGACACAAGAGCAACTACAAAACGGTGTAATGAGGTGTTGCGACACCCAAACAGACGCAATCCAAGCTCTTGATCAAATATTTTGGGTCCACAGAATTAACAAGCTGCCACGGAACCATCCAAAAAGGGCCGCCACCTCGGCCCAGGGCTGGCGTGCTTGTTTTTAGTTTTGTTTTTTTACCTTCTTGTAGTCCTTCATGTCCAAGTGGTCCTGGTGTCGGTACTGGTTGGCACTGGGAATAATGGGGATGGTGTAGACGGGCTTCACCAGAGCCTGCTGGGCCAGCGCCTCTGCCATCACCTCGCTGCCAAAGTCAGGCATGGTGTTTCTGTTTGGGGAATAAAAGACACCGATTCGAAGACCAGGATCAAATAAATGACTCCACACCAGTGACCGAGCCATGTCGCGGAGGAAAAAAACAAAACAGTAAATGACACCCACATAGATATGTTGAGAACTACCCGTGTTCACATTTTCAACTGTAAATAGATCACGAACTATGAGCCAAAAGATTTATCTAACCTCTAACAAATTTACAATGACAACCTGGCCTTTAATGACATTTCACAACATCTTTCATCACCCATTAAAAAAAATAAAATAAATGGCTGATAAATGATTCAAAAAGAAAAAATGCACCAGAAGTGGGCGTCGTGTACATGTGCCAAAGACTTCAGCAAACTACCATTAACATTTTCCGATAAGCTTGTTTTATCTCTTGGTCCAGAGGAGTGAGTTCAACAGACATCCCTGACACCAAATTACTACTTTCCTACTGTTGCTAGTTCAATATGTTTGGATGAGTACTTCTCGTATATTGTTTTGCAATGGCGGGGGGAACAAAAAAAAAAGACTTCTGCTTTATTTGTAGGAGTCAAACTATTCCATCAAACACTATTTTGCAGACACGCTGAAGTACAAAATCCAGGCACTAATTACAGCCTTTGCTGCAAAACCATGTTTCCTCCAACAATAGCATGGGAACACTCTCGAGATCGACACTTTGTGACCGACGACATGCTGCTCGCTTTGCACCTGGGCCTCTCTACATCGGCGCTAACCACCCAAGTGTGGAGAGAGCGTCAACACTGGCGACCATGCGCAGCCACAACCGAGACGGGGGGATAAGAAGCGGAAATTGAAATGTCACTACAAATCAAAAGGCACTTCAAGGAGAGGGCTCCAATTTGCGCTCACGGTTGGCAGCTCGTTTGGCAGGAAATTCATTCCGTTTGGGTGTCACGTTGGGGTGGATAACAAGGGCTCCGCTTTGCGGGGCGAGGAAAAAGTCAGTGTGACAAGGTTAGAAAACTTCAAAAAAATAAGGGAGGGGGGGGGATTGCTGTAAAGCACCTTCAAGAGGCAGTCTTCCTAATATGAAAGCACAATGCAGGGCCAGTCAAAGTAATGCACAAAGTTGCATAGAACCATTTTTTCCTGGGCAGTAACGGCAGGTGTGTCTCACCGCTTCTCTACAACCTCCAGCGTGAGGTGCAGCATTTCCCGCTTGCTCTTCTCCCTCCTCTTGATCATCTCCAGGATGGTGACGGCGCGGCTCAGGTCCCTGCGAAGCTTCAGCATCTTCTCGTATGACGCCTCGTCATTCTTACGGTTCTGAGAATAGCAACATCCATTTTTTTTCTCCCCCCTCTACATCGCGTTCAGTTGCGACAACTTTTTCAAAAAGTGGGGTGAACTCCCCGACACGTTTGTAAGCCGACCTTCCGAGTCTGCATCTTCTCCGTCCGTCTGCGAAAGGCCACGTAGGGGTCGCTGGTGCTCGAGCCGTCCCGTTTTTCCTGCTTGATGTTGGAGACGAAGGTTCCAAACTTGCACGTCTTCCGCTTGCGGCTCCAGTAGTCAAACACCTCCTTGATCAGTTCGTCGTCCTCCTTCAGCAGCAGCTTGGCCTCTTGGAGACTGACAAACTACACAAAGAAACGAGAGCATATACATATATATTATTCCAGGCCTGGAGTGAAACGCACAAAAAAAAAAAAAAAAGAAAAAAAAAAAGCGACAACCCAAAACGGAATTGAGCTGCAGTGTGAACACTCGTGCATTTTGATGAGCTTCACCTGCTGTCCGCTGCCTTTCTCCAGGCGGTCGATCATCTCTTCAAACTGCAGTGCTGTGATTTCCATTTTCTTCTTTAGCTTATTCACAAAAGTCTCGTCCCCCGAATCGAGGTCGTAGTCTGGCTGCTCCGTATCCAAACCGAAAGCTGCGGCGAGACGAGAGGGGGGAGACTGTGAGCGGCGAAATCAAGACGTAAGCTTTAAGTGAGGCACCCATTCACTCCACGTCCGGGAGATGACGGATTAACTCCCCATAAAAGCGATTTCGCTTGACAGAACGCGTTTGGGATTTGCCGATGGTGGGCGTAAAGCAGCGGCGAAGCAGCTTTTGACAAAGACGATCACGACGACAATGACTCACGCTGTATGTGAATAAGCTGCTTTGGCATTTTGAACTCCCCGGGGTAGAGCGATTCGTAGTGCGTGATGTTGCGTTCGGCCTCGGGCACGGGGATGACCATGTTGTCCCGCTTCTCGCCGTAGACCTGCTGCGCCGAGATGGCCCGTTGGAGATGGTGCTCCTGCCAGACGACGGGAGACACGAGCCGTTAATGCCGTTGCGATCGTGACGTCACACGAACCTGGATGAGGAACGTCTCAAAAGCAAGGCCATTAAAACAATAAACAAACAGATGTCTACAAGCAGCCACTGCGATTTAAAAAAAAAAAAAACACGATGCCACTTATCAAAATGAGTTCAACTGCAGCTTCTCCTCCCCATGCCAGGACTTGGAACAGGACGCAACAGATGGCTGATACAGTTACGGCTTGTTCTCTCAACTTTTTTTTAAACAGAGCTCCCACTCGTTTTGACAGGCTACAACATTTTTACAGCCACATTTCCTTGGCCGGCTTCTAGAAAGTGGGTCAGCCAAACGTGGCAAAAATGGCGTCACAGAAACGTGGCCAAGATGCTGACAAGCTTTTTTTTAATAGTCGAGATATTGTCCTAATCAATAAGGGGCCACTTTGGTTACATCTAGAAATTAAAAATCAAACCACCACTTTCAAAAATTTGCCATCAGGTTGCAGCTCAATTAAAACACGCCATTTCTGACAACAAATGAAACCAAATGCCACAATGTATCCAAACTTTAAAAAGTCATGGCTTCAAATTCGCTAAAATGTTTCCATCAGTGGTTTACCGTTTGTTTTTGTTTTTTTAAGTCATCATTGCAGGAGAACTGACAAGATGCATCGTTATAACTTAACTCAAGGTTTTCATACCACCCAACCTGGCCGCTGACGTGCCCAATCCCACTTGATATCGCTTGGATTTTCTCAATACATGCCAAAACACCAATTACAACACTGTTCTCCCTCTTGGGAACAGTTCACAAGCACAATTTGCAACCATTTGGCAAGAACGTAATCAATTCTTTGGTGACTCAAATAAAACAAAGTGAACAAAGAAGGTGTCTGGAACTCAAAAAATGAAAAAATGACAAAACACCGCTTGGTAACACACAATCTAGGCCAATAATCACAAGTCAGCCACTATAGTGAACATAAAAGCAGAGTCTGCGAACAAAATGTTCCGTGAACATACACACGCTTCATTTTCTGTCAGGGCCACAAAGCTGCATAAAGAGTCCGAAAGGAAGTAAAGGGGGAAAAAAAGCACTTTCTTCCAATTAAATGTTCCAAAGCAAAAGAAAATGCCCCCCCCCCAAAAAAGAGGAAATAAGGGTTGCTAAAGCAACCAGAGTGTGGCCTCCAGCAGGCGTTTCCAGGAAAGTCGTTTATGATTGCGCCGAGCCGCTAAGTGAATCGAGGCATCACACTGGAAACCTGGAACATTCCTTCTCATTTTTGTATAATTTTTTTTTAAAGCCAAGTTTGTGCCTGCTGAACATACCATTGCTCCAGTTTATCGACACAGGTAGGTCAGTGCATGTTCGACGGCCAACATGCGGTCAGGCAAGTCCACTCCCAGAGTTCTACTGACCCTGCGGTGGATGTAGGTCATGGAGCTAAGCCACGCCGCCTGTAGTAAAACAGCCCTCTATCTCTTTTGTCACTCGGTTATGTAATGCCGCTAGGGGAGGTGGGGGCTGGGGGGCGCGACAGGAGCGGGGCTGGATTTCTGCTGACTTGGCGGCCCCGTCTGTGTTTTCCCTGACGTTTGTGTCTGCCGCTCAGCATCACAGATGGGCTCTCCTGCTGATGAGCTCTGGGACTAGAGTGTGGCAGTGCAGCGGGGGAGGCGGGGGTCTCAAATACAACCGCAATGAATGCATTTCAAGCTCCAGCTAATTTAAATGAATATGGATTATAAAGATGACTTGCCTTCCCATTAAAAAAAAAAGCCCAGAGTTAATTATTCATAAATGTGGAACATATGCAACACTTTGACCAAAAAGATGGAATCTCATCAAGCGGCGAACACTTGTAAATGTAATCAATTTTGTTTGATTTTTTTGGTCACGGTTTTCAAAAAGTTGACCAACGGTGAAAAAACATTTGGAACATCTTTGCAACCTGTGACTTATCTTGACAATAAACCCCCCAAAATTGAACACGTCCACATGCACTTGCTGCTCAGTGAGATACCATCTCATGGGATTACAATTGCAGATTTTGTGTCCTATCTTGAGCAGGTACCGTGTTTTATGCCCGACACTATCAGGACTCAACCCAGCAGCCAAACAAAACATGCAGAGCGCTTGGAACGTCACGGTGTCTACAGTTGTATCAACAGACGAGAGTTTAGAAAACAGGAGGAACTTTACACATTAAAAGAAATACAAGCTCAATGATTATACAGCTCTTTAATTATTTTAAACTACATTTAAAGCGGATTTATTTGCTTAACTTTAACGGGGCAAGTGGCCCCCACTACAGTTAAGACCATACATGACCTTGAATTTCGTATCAATTGAATTAAGTGTAATTACACACACCTCGTTCATATAACCTGTGAAGCACCATTACGTCTACTAACTCTACGAAAAAAAATACAAAACCAACCAATTCAGGGAAAGAAATTTTAGAAAATTACACAACTGAGTTGAAAATAAAAAGTCGCTAAAATAATTGCGGCCCGATGGCGTTAGCTACAATGGTGTGGTTAGCAAGCGACAATGTGCTGCCCTCCACGTGCACTGATTCAAAAGTGAAACTGGATTCAATCATCCCCGAGCCGGCACCGACAAGGCGGCGTAACGACGCACATGGCCGCCTCGGGAGCTGTCAACTACGCCGACAACAGCTGTCAAAAGCCGGCGGAGGCTCAGCGTCTCCCCCTGGCCTTCGCACGCGGAAAGTACACCGCGGCCTTGCGGACTAGCCCAAACAGCCCGCCCGCGGAAAGTCAACAAAATGGTGGAACCGATATACGTCACGTGACTTCTTTGTGCGCTCCCCCGCATTTTGTGGCGGACCGAGCGGGCGCGACGCGGCCAACCGGCGGCGTGTCGACCACTCAAGTCCCCGCGACGACGCCCGCGTTGCAGCGAGGCCTCTATGCGACGAATTGGCCCAGAATCCGTCGTCGTGTGCTCGGCAAGCGCAGACGCGGTAGCCATTTTGAGCGAGCCTGCGCAGGCAGCGTAGCGGCTGGGTTGTTGCCGCCAGGTGGGGGGAGGAAAAAAAAAACGTCGCCGAGACTCCACCGGGCCGCTGAAAAAAACATACCGATTCCTCCTCCTTTTCCATCCCGGTCGGCATCTGCGGCACTGCCCGGTTGATCGAAGCATATTCGTGCAAGTCCGGTAAATCCTCGCAGCGGAAGACGGGCAGGGGCTTACTAGCATCCAGCGCCCGCGCCCGAAACGACAATTTATTCATTTTTTAACACTTATATTAGCAAATGCAGCATTAATCTAGTCTATCTGCGAGGAATTCTGCCTCTAGTTCTCATTGATGGATCCGGGACGGTCTCTTTGAGCGGGCCGCTCGATCGGGGCTTGGCTGGGGTGCGTAGTGACGCGAGCAGAGCCGGGCGGGCCCGCGTCTCGGCGGCTGTGTGTCGGTGTGCTTTCCTCTGGCGCTCCGCTCACCCTCCCCGGTTCAATGCGCCATGGCCAACATGGCGGACATTAGGAACTCGTGCAGCGCTCGCTCGCTCGGCTGCCTGCGCGCGGCCCAACCCCCTCCATCGCATCAACAGCCATTCCCACGCAGCTTGGCACGCGTGCGCGCTCCACACAACCGGCCGCGGGGTCCGCGGAGAAGAGGAGGGGGGGAACCGGCGACGCCGACGATTGGGACGGAGGAGGGGTAACTTTTCTCCAACATAAGTCAATTTTAATCCAAATTTAGTGGTTTTTACTGGGGTTGGACAAACTTTTATTACAGGACCAAATGCTAATACATATAAATAGCCGATGGAAGTCAGTAAAACGGTTTATTATAATGCATTCATTATCAATCAGACAATTTAAAAAATCTGTTTAAAAAAAACCCCTTCAAATTAGAGTCAAACTATTTCTTTTTTTTCATTTCGTCTTCCACCCCTTTGATTGGTTGACAAGTTTCATTGAACAAGATCAACCAATTTTTGGCCCAGGCCAAAATTTCAAGACGTCAACAGCTCAAAATTAGTGTCATGTTTCAAACACTGACACTAAAAACTTGCATTAACTAGCACAGATGGAAGATTGGTGAGAAAAGCAGTGTGGTCAGTACAAAAGCAGTCAATTGTTTTTTGTTAATTGTTTTGTTACGGGGATTTTAGTGACATGTTCAGTGCTTATTCTAAATTCCCCCCCCCCCCGAAAATTCTACAAATATGGTGGCCGCATGTCACATTGCCAACTTAAATGAGATCAATACTTGCAATGTATACGCTTGAAGCACTGGATTAAGAAATCTGACATAACCTACCTTGTAATCATTCCTCATAGTAGCAGAACCTTTGGCCACTTTTAGATTATCCAAACAAGTATGCCATTGTATCATCTCATGACACAACACCAACAGCACTGATAGGACAATAATTAAAAAAAAAAACCTTGCTACTCAACACAAGCTGAAATTTTTGCAACGATCCCACAGATAGAGAGTAGAAACCCAAAGTGTTGAAAATATGGAATAGCATTTAACCTGAGATTCCTTGTTTACATTCGGAAGCATCCAGAGACAAAGAGTACCAGGAGAACCATCATCCATTTGCAGGAAAAGTCACACCTCGGCCATGTGTGAGGCATCCAGGACAACCTAGAGCAGTTGAGGGAAAAACATGTCATTGGTAATTTTCAAGAAATCAAAAACACACCATCTGGCTTGAGTTACATGACATACCATTGCCTAAAAACACCACCACCCCAAAACCATGCTCAACTGCGAATTTCACCACACACACACACACACACACACACACACACACACACACACACACACACACACACAGTTCTATTGATTGTTGTTTATTGGGTACTGTTTTATGATGTATAGATCGGATATTTTCCAAATTTAATGAGTCAAGAATAAAGTGTTTTTGTTTACTTGAGTTGAACAACTGCGACACACAAACACAACGGTGATTCGTAGTGTTTATTGTACATGTAAAAACAAACTACTATTTCATTAGCAACACGATGCGTTCAAGTTAAAATGCAAGTCGAGGAACTTCTACTGCGATGTACATATTTTTTGAGTTAAAGCGGACAAGCAATGGAAAAAAAATAAATGCAAAGAGGAGACTTTAGCGACTCACTTGTCGGTCACAGCTGTTTACACAGGGCTAACGTTAGCCTAGCCTAGCCGCCTGTTTAGCAAGCCTGACCCTGCGCCATTACAGTATCAGCACTTTGCCAACTCGCACCTAACTTGCCCTCGAAGCACAGCCGTGCCACCTGGATTATCCTCGGCCACACACCGGCCATTGCGAGGTCGTTGTGCCAACATACCGAGTCGTGGAGCAGAGTCCCCGGACTGGAGGAGGAGGATGATGACAGCTTTTCTTGTGGTTGACATACTGCTAGCCCAATGCTAACAGTGGTTAGCTCCCCCGCAGGTCGCCTCGGAATGGGAAGAAAAATATCCTCGTGAGATTTTTCTCTAATAAAATGTGCAAGGTGCTAGTAGTTGACAGCAAGGCTTGTGTGTCAGGCGAGGAATTGGCGAAAGGGGCAGTATTGTCAGCTTCGAGACAAACTTGCAACGCTTTCCGAGGTTACTTCGACAAACATCCACAAAGTCTCCAGCAGGCGGACATGTGATTGGCAGCGGAAATCGCCAATCACGAGAGTGGACAGCTAAGAAGCGAGAGCTCATTGGTACCCCAGCCCCCGCCCACCCAGGGCCGTACTAATATGGATTCTGTGCTTATGATGAACTGTTAGCAATATTAGCGTGTTGGCCAATGCAGAGGTTAAATGTTAAATCAATAAATACAAAGAAAGTCTTCCAATGGTACAATGTCGAATGAGAAAATGTGAAAAAACATCTGCTTTTATAACACATTTGTTGACAGCTGTGGAAAAACACCCAACAGGGAAAACAATAATAATCTAAGAGTCACTACTTGATTTCTCCACTAGGAGGAAGTGGAGAGCCACATAATGCAAAAGCCTCCCCTTGGCTTCCAATCAGCATTGCCATGCACACTGCAGCGTGACTCCTACCTCGCAAGGAAGAAAGAACATAAATCAGAGTTCATGTCATCCCCAAAAAAGCGACACTACACTCCTGCAATAACCTGAAAGTTAATAATCAACGAGAGCTTGGCTGGAGCCACACATGGCCTCTTGAGGAGCTAAGTGCTCGTGCCGCTTGCGTTTGTATTCAGGCAAGGGAAGGGATGAGGGATGACGAGATCGAATACACACATCAAAAGAGGAAGAGTAAGACATCCGCAACCATTTGCCTCCCCGACAAACAACCACTTCGATCGACTCGCCCTTGTTTGAGTGAGAGTCATCACGGCGATGCCGTTTGAAATCTGGATCGGGCTTGATTCATTCACTGCCCGGCACACAACTCAACTGGCTGTCACGACTCGCCGTCTGCCGCTTTTATTCTTCCCTCTCGGGGTGGATTTGTTTGGGACTCGGCCGGCTGCCTCTGGTGCAGAGGCAGGCACGCCCCCGAGGATGCTGGCCGGCTGTTTCCATGGCAACGGCAGCCTCACGCCCAACAACAGGAGTCACGCAGCAATCCTGCGACCGATAAAATGAATTATTCCTGCTCGTCCATATCAATAACCTTTGACGGACGCATGGATTATGACAGTGTTTTCCAACCTTGATTGATTCAAGGAACATATTTTCGAAAAATCTAAAGGGGCAACACCACCAAACACTGTCACACAAAGTCTCGTTGATGCTCCTCAACTCACTTCAATGTAGTGATTTGGTACAGAGGTTCAACAAAGGCACTACGTTTGTCAAAATGAATCTCCACAACTCACGTCTACATTTTTATGGGAACCAAGGTGCCATGAGATGGCGGCAAAGCACTACTTTTGTATCGTTAACACTTCTCTTATTTGACTATAATGCCTTGACACCATGGTGTCACGATACGCCAGCAAAGTAACACCGATTGCTTTGGCCTGCGCAGAAAAAACATTGCGGAACGTCTTTTGGCATTCCTGCATGAAATAAGAAGCAACTGAAACCAATGAGCAGATTTCAAGTGACAATCTCAGTGACTATTTCGCAACTTGTGTCATTTTTTGCACTCACCGAGTCAACGCTTGAGTTGCTCAAGATGCTAAATCGCTCGCTCCTCTTGGTGGGCATGGCGCCACTCTACACAACAAGTGCAGAGGTCAACATGACCATTAAATGGTCCGGGATGGGTAGGGGACCTGCAGGACCTTTGTCTCAAGGACACTCGTGGCTCACTCTCATCAGCAGGCTGTTGTGGAAGCTGCGGGCAACAGGACATGTTGTGAATGCACACTCTGGGTGGGGGCGGTTCATTAGGTACACCGGCGGGCTCGAAAAAGGCTTTGTTGTCATGTTCGCAGAAGGATGAAAATACATCTGAATGGAGCCGGAGCCGAGATCCCAGCTGACGTTGGGATTTCAGTCCATAACTACAAATCGTCGGATATAAACGCCCTTTCAATGGATGTAATATTCAGTGAGCTATTTCAGAAAATGCTTCAACAAAAGCGTTTTTTTTTTTTTTTTGGGGAGTGAATAATGAACCCTGGCTGCGCATCAATTCCCAAGGGCTCTTTCTGGGATGGTGCACCACCCTTTCCACATTGTTTACACTGAAAATCGCTGAAGCAGTTTTCGTGCAATCTGGTTGAATCAACAAAGCAAAAGCGAAACTCATTAACGGAGTTAAATAATATCCATCCATTCATTTTCCGTAACGCTTGTCCTCATCAGGGTGGCGGCTTAGTTGGAGTCCTACCCAATTGGATGGTGGTGTGTAGACCATGGACTCGGCATCAGTCAATCGCACGGCTCATACAATAGATATAAGCAGTACCTCGAAAACATCATTCACGCACCAGCTAAGTGGTAGATTTTTAAGCTGTTATGATGTTTTTTGTGTGTGTTTGTTTCTTTTTAAAGACAAGGCTTGATTTGGAGATTGATTATTTGGAGAAGTGTGTGAGCGAGAGAGTCTCAATTCTGTCCACAACTCTTCCAAAAAGAGGCTTTGTGCTGTTTTAATGCCGTTCCCAGTTGAGGTCTACTCTTAACATAAATAGAAAAGAAAAACAATTATTCGGAAACTCGACACACAATGAAAAACGTCACAGGCAGGCTAACGTATACCATCAATGTAGTGCTCTAACCCCATCAATTTTGGATATTTGAACACAAACAGTGTAGCAACACATGTAGACAGACACTATCACAATACTCACAGGTATACGTTCTTTCTCCTGACCTCAAAAATGAATACTCCTGCATCCCACCGAGACAGCTATGAAATTCTTCTTTGTGTCTGTATTATACTGCCCCTTAGTGGTCAAAGTGTGTAATACCAGGGAAACAATGCACGGATGGAAGGGAATAATTGCATTTCCATTCATTTTAAGAGGCAGATATTCATTTGAGAGAGCATTTTGGATGGATTTCCTTGTCAAAACTCACCACTGCTAGCGCACCTACACAACCGGGTCCACAAAAAGCAATGAGATTAAGAGAGGAGTGCTCACTTTGATTTTTGCAGCGGCCTGCCTAACTCGACCGGCAGAGCCGTGGACGCCGACCTTTAAATCTCTCGTCTTTAACTCCTGCCTTCACTCGGGCCGAGCCTCCATTTCTCTGCCGGGATCGCGGGCGGGAATCAATTTAGCACGGACTGCCGAGCCTGCGGCGTGGGATAAACACGATCAAGTCCCTGCAACACAAAAAGCAGCAGAGCAAGCACATAAGGCACACTGACGGGTTTTTGGTCAAAAGGACTCATTGATGTTGCCTGGCATAATAACATTTGGGACACTGTCACCAATCAAATTTCGCCCTCAATTTCAGCATCCCACACCATATAGACAAAACTAGTGCCAGTCCACTCATGGAAATAAAAGAAGAACCTCAAACAAAATCATCAAGCGTGACTGACACGAAATATTCCAGGCAGGCGTTTGGAAAAGAAATTTCCGATTTGCTCGCAATCACTAACTTGGGGTTTAACGCGTGGCGCATATCAGAGTTGAAATGTGCCAAAAAAAAAAAAAAAAAAGCAACTCTCCAGATCTGAGAAAGGCTGCCTCTCCATAAAAGAATTAACAGTGTTTCAGAACGCCTTTATCCTTTTGTCCGTGCTGTTTTTCTCCACATGACTCACACGGCAAACAGCAGCAAAACAATTCTGCCTCTTGCCGGGTGTCCCCGTCTTACCTCGCAAATCACCTTGGCGGTATCCAACCAACCTGGCACCAATGTCGCGAAATCCGTGCAGTCGGATATCGGAGGCTCCGTGAGGAGCCACCAAACAGTGGCCTCTCACTTGGGATTTTCTGCTTGAAAAGGCAATGGATTGCTTCAAAAAGCTCAATAAACAGCATTTAACCTTCATTGTGAAGCCCCGCCTCCACAAATAACCTGCTGAAATGAGGAGAAAGGAGCATCAGGATGAGCCAAAAACCTTGCGGGTCCCGAGGGTCGACCTAACAGTGCTGCCATGTCAGATGTGTGACTGACTTGACCCTTGCATAACAATCCACTTCTATTCCCTGCGCAGTATGCTTCTGGTTATTGTCCATCTGCACTGTGAAGCGCCGACCAGTGAAGAATTTGGCTGAACATGAGCAGATATCATCCGAAATACAAAAACTTTTGTCCTTTAGAATGAGGCTGTGAAAAAAAAAATCTGTATGCATGTCGCCAGCCCGAGCCTGAAGGACCTCGAGGAATTATTATTCTTATTATTATTATAATGACAGCAGGAAATTTTTCGAGCGGCGACAACAACCGGCGGGATGTGGGCGACGGTCTCGTTGACAACACCTGCCACGGAAGAATAATGACACACTTGACTCCCGTTGCATTCTCAATGAGGGAAGTATTGAACCCAACGTCTCTGCGGCAAAAAAACGAGAAAAAAAAAAAAGATAAACGTGAGGGAGGGTGGGGTCAGAACAGGGCTTCAAATAAGGGCCGCTCTTTTCTTTCGACGATCATTAAGTGGAGAGGATTTGTAATTGCCGCCCAAGGTAGATAATCTCCAACCGGAGCGCCTCACAAATGTTTCATCTAGTCGGGAGCGGTGGGCTCGCACGGGAGGAATAAGAGCCACTTCCCTTACGAGCCTCAGCCGGGTGGAGGTAAACATGACGGCAGGCAGAGGAGCCACTCGGGCAACGTTGTCGGCCTTTTCGTCATGATGTCGCGCATGCCTCTCAGGGGCAACAACCAAAGTAGACAAAAAAAAAAAAAAAGCCTTTGGGCAGAATGATTGTGAGATGATGATGATGATTTTGGCCTTTTCTGGCTTGTCACTGTGTCAAGTGCCAGTTGAAAGGAAGGCATGACACGAGGTAAATTGTCTCAAAGCGAGAAGGAAGGAAATATTTTGCGACAGATCAGTTGATTCAAAATGAGACATTCAGCCACACAGAGGTGCCTTGAGGCAACGCGCATTTCAGGGAGACACATCCTGTCGCAGTCTAAAATTTGTACTTGGTAAAACATCCACGAGTGACATAAAAAAATCCATCAATGGCTCCAATTCAATGGACATTGCGCAGTATGTACAGTATGAGTATAATTTGAATACATTTATTGTCGTAAGTTACCCAACAGCTCTTAATGTCTCAAGTTTTTTTTGTTTGTTATTTTTTTTTAAAACAAAGTGAGCCAAATAATGAAAATTGTATTATGGTAATAATGGAATAAGCGGCTTGCAAACATTAATGACTCACAACGCCGATTCTCACGGGCTCAAATGAGAGGGGGGGAGAAAAAAAAACCCTTTCAAGAGCAACCTAATTCGTCTCCGGGAATAAAGTAGAACAAATAAATGCATGTTTTCATTATAAATGCTTTTCCTTGGCTTTAGTCAATTTAACAAAAGTTAAAGATCAATTTCTAAGGGCCTTCTGCTTTTCCCAGCTAGCCATAAACAAACGTACACGACATACTGTCAAACTAAACATAAAACAAAGATAATTATAGGTCGCTTTATTTTTGAAACACTCCTCACTGCCTCTTCATGTCCGCTAGCCAAATGCTAACATGCCATCAACAAGTGAATAAACGGTATCCAAGTGGCCGTGTTTGAACACAAAAGCGCAGCAACACATATAGAGAGACATCAACATTATTGCAACTTGTGGAATTACTGACAGAAGTTGAAGTGAAACTCTTCATTTGTGTGTCTGCCTGACTGTACCTTACTGCCTCCTGGTGGCCAAATTTCACATACCAGGAGGAGAGGCTTAATAATGATGCACAAGCTGTTTTGTTATTTACATTTTAATCAATTATTACGACATGCTTTTAATAAAATACAATATGATAGTGCCATTTTCCTCATCCAAAGGCACATTACAACTTTTTATTTTTTTTAACAGAGGCTGGAATAGCACCACTGAATTATTTTGCAGACCCCGAAGTGGCACCTCGTGGACCCCGAGTTGAGAAGCATCATTTTGGAGGATCCAACATGGTGAACTCACTTAACAACCCACACAACGCCGGCGGCGACGGCACACACACGGATGTGTGACTCACAAAAGCACACGCTCTCCCAAAAAAAAATAATAATAATAATGGCGGCCTTCGGAATGGAATTATCATCATCAAAAGAAAAAAAAAAAAGAACAAAGAAAACAACAACAAAAAATGGCGCTTTCTGCGATTGCAGGCGATTCCGTTGTGCAGTGCAACAACACTGTTATTTAAAGGATTTTTTTCGGGGGGTGGGGTGGGGGGGTATATGGAGGGGACAGTCTTTGGTTGCCTCCCCACAAGGAATATTGATCCAGGTCAGCCAGCGAGGGCTAGATAACGATCTGCTTTTCTAAAGACTCCAATAATTCCTACTGGAGGGACAAATGTGTCCTCAAGCAAGTCACCAAACATCATTACGCGTTGCAGATCTGCTGAATCTCGGCGGTTTAACGCAGTGTTGCACTTGTACACTCACTGGCACTTTAGATTGAAAACGATTATCCCAGACGCTGACACCGTCAGTTTTCATTCGTTTTGAGAGCTAATGTAGTTTGTTCGTTTTTTTTTTTTTTGTTCGTATTAATTGTAGTTTTTCTTCCCCGCCCCTTACCAAGCTAACGCTGCAGCAGGGCGTTTGGATATCGGGCAGACTTCCGCCGCCGAGTTTGTGGTCCTGCTCTGGCATCGGGAAGAGTTCCGGGACGCCCGCCGCCGCAAGTTCCGGGAGATGGATCGGTGGAGGTTCTTCATCGGGGATCCGTCGGCTGTGGTGAGAATCCACGGGTGACGCGAGGCTTGCTCGGCACGCAGACGGCGGCCCGGGTCCGATTCCAGCAGAGCCCGGATGAAGTCTTTGGCGGGATTGGACACGGAGGGCCATGGCTGCAGAAGATGGGATAATAATGAGAGTAAAAACAAAGCATTTTGTGCTTAGCGGCGGTAATAAGTCCCTCCCGTCTCACCTGGGCTTGAGAAAAAAAAGATGAACTCACGACAGAGGCTAAAAGTCTCGTGAAAGCCCGACTTCAGCTTGTCGTGGAGCATCAAAGTGTGACGGAGAGCTTTAACGAGCAGAACACTGAACGAAAGCTGAACATCAGAGGGCTGAGCCTGACTAATAAGAGCAGCCTCGGCGGTCCAAACACTTTGTTCCTGACTCTCTGTGCTGCTTTCGAGTCATCGAGAGAGGAGACTCCAAGCTGTTTCATGCCACTCCCAGTTGAAATTTACTTGACTTATTACCCAACATTAAACAAATAGTCATACTCACAGGCATTTATTCTTTATCATCTGTGAGGAACAAATACTGCGGAACAATGAGCAATTGCTCCTGCATGTACTGTGGTATATTTCTTTAAAAAAAACTTGAGTTTAAGATGACAATCCTGTTTGTAGGAGGGTGGGGTGGAACAGATTAATGGAATTCCCATTTATTTCAATGGGGAAAGATGATTTGAGATGACTTGTCCCCGTGTGAATTTGTGAATAGCAAACAACTGGGCGGCCGTTCACTGCTGCTATACAAGTTCAATTTAGAGGTCAACTTTGGTGAATATGCATGTTCCTGACAATAAAGACCATTCTCGTTCTAATTCAACGTTGTTAAATAATTCATGGTGCCTTTTTTGGCTCGGCAGCAGAGGTCGGCCTGAGGAAAACTGTAACCTTTGCGGCGGAAGGCTTGTACGGAATCAAATATTTCCCCCACGCAGGTAGACTGAAGCGTTGTTTTGTTGTTTGCGCTAAAGCGCAAACTGACAAACAACGGCAACGATGAAGTAATGTCTTTGCAAAGCTTTAATCCACTCTTCAATCCTCCCATTCTCCAATCAAGCGTTAGCGCGCAAATCTCTCGCTTTTGCCTTTGGGGAGGTCTCAGGCATCATCTCTTCTTATGGGATAATGACGCTTAATCGAGTGTGAAATCGTCAATAGCGGGGAGCTCAAAAATACAAAGGCCGGTCTGATGAAGAGGGCCTGGACAAAAGTATTGGGACACGAACGCACCGTTTTTCCTTAATCCGGCGCCATGATTGAGGTTATGGTTTTTGGAGGGGCGAAAAAAAAAAAAAAAAAACGATCCGACATAATGTATTGCAAATGAATATGAGGACCCAGAAGCGATGCGGACACCGGTTTGAGAACCGATGGTCTACTTCAGTGGTGTCTAAACTATGGCCTTGGGGCCATTTGCAGCCCGCCAGCCATTTGTTTGCGGCCCGTGACATTTGACACAGCCTGC